GTCTTTCACCTCAGGGCTCCATGTGTGCTTCCTATACATGAAATATGGCTCTGCGGGCTCAGACTGTCTTCTTTGTAGCATGCAATCAGCAGATAACAGGAAACATCTTCTTCCTCTCATAAAACAAAGAGGTTGACCCACCCTATTAGGGGCACACCATTCTCATCAACTGAGGATTAAGTATCTATCCATTCCTCAATATAAAATAAGCACTGCTTTTTAGATGTAATGCAGAGGTGGCTGTACATTTTGACATTATGTACTTGCTGTTTTCTATGAAGGGTTTTTGGAGAAGACCACTTCCAGAAAGTTGCTCTGAAAGTTTATGGGATTATGTTAGATACCACTGAAAAGATGTTAAATGGATGAAGAGGTGTGATTACAAAGACAGTTTAGAACTGTACAGGTGTTAAGAACTGACGTGCTAAGAACAACTAAAAGTTGAAACTAAAATGTATGAAGTTTTATCCTTTCCTTCACCACCTCTCCATTAACATCAAAACTTTTTACGCTGCCATTGTACTGGAGAATGAGATTCTACTGGTGCTTTACAACCTTACTATTTGTGTTTTTCCCTTTCTACACCCATGTATATATGCATATATGCCAACTGAGGATAACATTCTCTGCATGCGATGAATCACATTCTACACCACATTGAATCATTAAGGCCCTGCCACACTGTTTTTGCAGTACCGTCCTTACAAATTTTAATCAATGGCTGTCATTTGTAAACTTTTCACAAGTACATCTGCAGCATCTACTTATGCTGAAAGCAAATGATTTTTTTTCCAACACACTACAAGCAGGTACTTACAATTGTGGTTTCCCTTAAGCTTATATGAAGTAAATTTACATGGGATGATCATGATTTTATTTAATTTATGATGATATTGATAGTCTGACCTATATCATGCAATCTTAGGATAGGGTACAATAAAATCTACTGTCAATTTGAAATAATTAAAAACACTAAAAATAAATTAAGTAGATCAAAGTCACATTAAACAACTTTACAAGTTAAACTCAATACCATTTAAAGCAATTTTAAACAGCTTAACATAATTGAAACTACAGGCAATGCTCCAGTTACAAACAAGATAGCTCCCCATGATAACTTTTCCAGGGGCAGATTTCTCTTCCTAAGGGTAGACTTATCTCACTTCCTGTTGTCTCACCTTCGTTCATAACTATGACTTGTTTGTAACTCGGGAGTTTGTAACTCGGGGACTGCCTGTATAGACATGCATAGATTTGGATGAAATCAATTCCACTCCAAGGGGCCATGTTTTTATTTATTGACAGAATTAAACAGTGTTGGCACTAATCAGGCACTCAACAGGGAGGGTATTCCACAATTCTGGGGCCAAATTAGAAAAAAGCCTCTTCTGTGCCCTGTCAAAATATATTACTTCTTGAAGTATTGAGGTACCTTTTGGGGGTTTGAATCTGTAACTTAAAGAGAGACCAGTTCAGTCCTTTCATAGTATAATCATACATTTTAGTTACATAGATATATTATTGTAGTTCTTCACCAAATAAGAGACAATTGACACAATTATGCTCTTCTATTGTGTAGTAACAAAAAGATAAATAATTGGATAGCACACAGGTTGTTTTAAAAAATAATCAAAATTAACTAAGTTACATTTGAGATACAGTAAAGCGTCGCTTTTTTAAAAAATGGAGATACAACATAGTGTAAGGTGGAGCTAGAAGTGTAACTAATTACCTTTTAAAAGTAACTTTTCAAGAAGTTAGTAAAATGTACTATTTAAACAGTTTTCTGTGCCCATCAACTATCAGTGACTCATAATCTAAGCTTCTGAGGAGAGTAGTGAAGGAGACAAAAAGCTTGAGGTGAAGGCTTATGAGGCCAATGAGCTTAGAAAGCGATTTAGAAACAGGTGGAAATGAAACACATCAATAGAGTCATGTCTCTGATCTTTTAAAAAAGAAATATAAGAGCAGGTGTTGATTTTTCAATACATTGTCATGCTTCCTTCCATATTCCTGAAATGCTAATAGATTACATTTCTTGCTAATCCCACTCTCAAGACTAAAAAGATAACCGACTTAAATTGCAGCAAATGACCAGGGTTTAGGTAAGACTGGAGATCACATAATCTGCAAGATGAGGTAAGGTAGGAATGGTTTTTCAAACGGCCCACTGAACACCTTTAAAAGATTATTGTAAAACCAGTTGTCATATAGTTTTATTTCTTAGTTGGACTAAAGAGGCACATTCCCAATGTGCAATTTCCTTGGACAATGAGGTGTTTCACACTCATGCAGCCAAACCACTTGAGGTGTCATTTGAAGTGATGTTTCAAAGTCAAGACAACTTAGTCACGTATAGCAAGCAAATGACAAGCAGGAGGATGGAAATGAGGATTTGTATTCATGAGATTACTATTATGAAGGATGGCAAAGAACATCTTATGGGTGAGGTAAAAAGTCATTTTCTCTTTGGTGCAAGGTTAAGGGTGAAGACAATGTTGTGCTTGGTTCTGGCATCCACAGAGCAGGTGCCCAGCCAGACGTGGCATCTTACCACCAAGGCAGCCACCTGTGTCCTAGTACTAAATTGGATTATGCCCAAAGTCTGTTGTCTAACTTTGACCTGCTCAGGAGGGAAAACCTTGTTGATCTCCTTTGCCCAAGAGAGTCAAAATAGATAAAAGTGAAGGCCCTTAAGACCAAAGAGACAGCACACGGGTCTTCTTTCGAGTTGGGTCTGCCTTTCCGTCTCTCTATAGGCACACCCTCCATCTGCAACATCTATTGCTACACAGTCTCTGGCCCTGGCTGCTCAAGACTGAGTGAAAGGATTGCACCTTGGTCACAGTATGGAGGGACGCTCCCTCGCTCGGAGGCAACACAGGTTTTTCCCAGCTTCCTACACCCTCTGTTTGATCCGTTAGTTCAAGAGGGTAGGTATGTGTGGTCTGACTATGCCTGCTGCTTTGATGATGGAGCTGGGGCTCTCTTTGCTGATTTGCAGAGGTTTCTGCATCTTTCTTGACTGCTTGCATGCTTGCTACTTGCTTTCTTCTTCATTTACATGGCTGCTCCAAATGGAAAAGGTAGAGTAAGGGAGGGAAGGATGGAATAAAAGGCAGGTACTAGAAGCTAGATTGAGAAGGAATGGAAATTCGGAAGGATCATAAGACTTTCTCTTTTGTTTTATTTTAGGAAAATAGAAGAGGCAAGAAGAAAGTTGTTGCAAAAAGACCAAAGGGAAAATGGTGACTGGGATGGAGCCAATAGCCACACATTTCAATTAAGAGAAGGCAGGAAACAAAACGAGTGGAGGACGCTTACTCCTCTCCTTCTAGTTACCATTAAAATTATCACGTGTTTCCTGCCTACAGAGAAATGGGTAGGCCAGTCCACAATCAGAAATGTGCAGGATTCTTACTGGGAATAATAATAATAATAATAATAATAATAATAATAATAATAATAATAATAATAATAACTTTATTTTTATACCCTGCCACCATCTCCCCAAAGGGACTCGGGGAGGCTTACAAGGGGACAAGCCTGAAAATACAGATTAAAACACACACAATAAAATAAAATGTAAAAAAATAAAATTGTCAACAACATCAGAAAAAAAATGTTACAATCACAATACACATTTTAAAAAGAGTATAATGGCTGAAAGATTAAGTGCTGAGTGCAGAAGAATCAGGAAATATGCAATCATTTCTAGATAGAGCCCAGGGAAAGTGCAAGATGTGCTTCGATTCAGTTAAGGTCACAGCTGGGAGGGTAATGTCCTTAGGCATTTACAGTAACAAGATTACAGGTTTTGGGGGGGGGGGAATGAAAGTGCAAAGAGCTATGGTGCGATCAATCCAATTCTCTGGTGAACTGCCTAATCAAATGCTCAGCGGAACATCCAGGTTTTTAACTCCTTGCAGAAAATGGAAAGGGTAGGTGCTAATCTGATCTCCTTGGTTTGTGAGTTCCAGAGCCAAGGGGCCACCACCGAGAAGGCCCTTTCTCTCGTTCCCACCAGCCATGCTTGAGAAGGCGGCAGAAGTGAGAGCAGAGCCTCCCCAGATGATCTTAAAGTATGTGCTGGGGACAATTCTTTCACCTCTTGGCTCAAGAACACGAAAGACACTGAACGCTATAAATTGAAAAGAAAATGGGTATTTTCACAAAATGATTAACTAAGCTCTTTACAAGTTACAAAAGGTCTTGCATTTATTATGGTATTACTCAGTACTCAGAACATTAATAGTGCCTTGTAAAATTCATTAAAACAATAGTGTCACTTAGTTTTTAATTTGATTGAATAAACCTGTTGCACTTGATCTCCTTGCCTCATAGTGTCTAACTGATAGAGACCCTAGAGGTTTCAGGGTTGCCTTTGAAAAGGGACACAGCAGTGGGTCTCAACAATGCGCACTCAGAAAATAGATTTAAATCAGAGAAGCTGCCAACGCCAAAGTGAAGACAAATGGAGTACTGTTTATTGCAGGATAAACTGCAAGTGAGGACTATCGCAACCCTTGATCTGAATGCCCTTACTTACCCAATAAAGCTTTCAAAAGAGATAAATGCACCCTACTGCCTTGGCACAAGTGTGGAATTCTACCTATTGGTATATTCAGGAGTGTGCTTGAAAATGTGATGACAGGCCTAAGAAGGCTACGTGTTGTGCAAACTATCTTCTATCACCAGAGATCTGACAGTCTGCCAAAAAGAATCAAAATAAGTCATCAGTCCCTTGACCATTTTTTAAAAAAACAATATCATGGGATAAACTGATCCCTTTATTTACTTAGAGTATACTGGCATATAAATGTTAAAAGTAAGAACAGATTTGTTTTAGACCTCAGCTATGCCTAACTATCACAAAAAGCCCTGTCCTTATCACATTTTAAAGATATACACCTTTTCCCTTTTCTTAGTTTTTCTTTAGCAGAGCTGGTAAAATTACAGAGTTAAAGAAGAAAATTACTGGGGAACATGGAGGCACTTACCTACCATTACCTTAAGCCGGCCCTCCCTCCACGGGTCTTTTTCTTCTTTGCTCTACTACTGTTTCAATAGCTCTGGTTTGTCCACACGAGGGTCTAGTTCTGGCAAATATAATATGGGGACTAGCTTCCAAAAGACCTGGAAAATGTGAAAATGAATTAGATGATGATGATGATGATGATGATTATTCCCTTTTTCTCACTACAAAGGAGACTCAAAGCAGCTTGCATTAAATAAATGTCAATAGAATTAAAATACATAAATATACAAACATTAAAAATAGAATCAAACATCAATGGTATTAATTAAAAATTATCAGTGAACATTCATAAAACCGATTTAAACCATATTCAGGGCTAAAATCACAGCACCCCCCAACTTGGTCTTTAAAAAATTAACAATAAAGAAGTACTTATCTCACCTGTGGAATTTGTAAGTGGCTCACACAATGTAGCACTATCAAGGCTATTCTGGAATCCATTCTTTTCCCCTTCTGTGGAGATTGCTCTGTTAGATGAAACACTGAATCAGAAAATAGCACAGACAGGAAAAAAAAAAACAAATTTGGGAAGAAAAATAACTTTCTGAAGGGTAAAAACTAGAATTCAGGAGACAGAAATATCAAGTCTTTCTAGACAAATCTAGCAGAAAACAAAATTACCCCTTACTCAATATGACGTTCTTTCAAATATTTAAACATGGCTATCATATCCCCTCTTAACTTTCTCTTCTCCAAGCTAAACAGACCCACTCCCCATACCAGACACAATTATTCTTGTTATAAGTGGAGACTGGGCCCATTACAGCAGTACTACTTAAAGAGGTGGTCCAGAGACCTAACCATAAGCCAGTAGGGACTGGTCTGATGAGTTCTCTGGAAAGAAATAAAAAATGTATGGGGCCAAATATGGCACTGGTCCCTTGTGCATTAGAGGAAAAGATTTCAGTCACCCACATCAGACAGCATGGGAAGGACTTTCTGGAAACACAGTGCAAACAGAGCAAAGACCAGGGTTTAAGATCAGTAACAATCTGCTTTTAAACTGGATACAACTGATTTTAATGAAGATTAAGAATCAACGAAAGAAGCGGCTAGTTTTAACTTGAGCTGACCTTGGCCCAGAGAAATACATGTCTGACAAAGATCTTCAGTGTGCTGTGAAATTTATTTCTTCTTATTCTCATCCTTATATTTATATGTTTGTTTTTATTCTGGTACTGAATGTTTGCCGTATTTATGTTGTGCCCTGCCCTGAGTCCCCCTTCTGAGTGAGAAGGACAGAATATAAATGCTTTAAATAAATAAATAAATAAATAAATAAATAAATACTGTTGATGCTAACATACTATTAAATTTCCGAAGAAAAGCATTCATTGACATTAAAGTGTGGGGAGAAAATTACAATATTAATTTTCTGCAGTAAATGCTAACTCATTAGTAACAAACAGGACACAGAGCAATGAATTCAAACTACAGGGAAAGGGATTCTACCTAAATGTTATGTGTTTCCAGATGGTAAGAGCAGTTTGACAGTGGGATACATTGCCCCAGAGTTTGACAAAGTCATGTTTTCTTGGGGTTTTTTAAACAGAGGCTAGATAGCCATGCATTTCTCCTTCAAACATGAGATGGTGTGAGAGAAGAAAGTAACAGGGAAGTCTTAGATGTGCGCACCCCATTCTCTCTACTTTTTGCCCTCACATGAACAAGCTAAATGCCTGCTTTTGGTTGATGGTGTGAGAAAACTCTAGGTATAAAAGCAACTGTCCTTTCAGATGCCTTAATACTGTATTTCTTCAATCCTAAAATGCACTGTTTTCCTATATGAACATCTTAAAACTGGGATGTGTCTTGGAATCACAGGTATCGTATGCATTTTTGGTGGTGGTGATGGTGCTGAAATTAGGGTGCGTTTTACAATTGATTGCATCTTACAATTGAAGAAATATGGGTATGTGAATACAGAAGGGAACAGAAACATTCCAGATGGCCTTGAAACACTAAAATAATACAACATGTCTAAGTAAAATTTAAATATTTTGTTTTAAATATACATATGTGTAATATTCTTATTCATTTATTCATGGTAGAAAACACAATTGTAGACCTGAATTCTGGCAAGAGATAAAAATGGGGAAAATGACATTTACAACACAGATTCAGGATACAAAAAAGAACGGATAAGGCAAATTCCCTTTAAAATGATAGGTTTAAAATATATTCACTATTTTGCAGATTGAATGGGAATTTGATATACCAGTACATAATGTAGTCAATTATTTGTTAAATCAAATTAGAAACTTACAAGAAAGTTGCACAAAAGTTTCAATAGTCAAATATGTGTCCACCTACTCAGGAATACATTTTAAAGTGCACAACTATTTCCCTTTGTCTTTCAGAAAGTTAAAAACTGAAGTAACTCTTGGATAGTTTGGAAAAGAAAAGCATTTTATCTCTGCTTACTATTGCATTCTGAATATCAAAACTACCTTCCCTCTCCTTAAACCTTGCATTCAAATAATTTTTCAGCCCAATGTTTTATATGTGTATGTGTGTGCGCGCATACACACACACACACAAATACTGCACAGATGACTCAAATGTATTCCTCTATTCAGCCAGGACGAATGTCTCCAAATTCCATATACTCTTAGAAGTTCTATTGGCAGCCAAATGTATATTTTCCAAAGGATTTGCTGATCTTCCAGTTAATCACAGGTCACTGCTCCCTCTTTTATGCCGACAGCTGCGTTTCCCCTGATTTCTAAATGTTCTTTCTCTCTTTAATTTTCCTCTTTGTACCCCTCCATAGATAGCATCTTGTGTTTTTTCCCCTTTTATTTATTCCACCCACTTCCCCACTTGCATAAATTTAAGTCATGCCTAAATTCTATGTGTATAATTCTCTTTGAAAAATGTCAGTCATCTTCACCACAAAATGCCTCAAGGATAGTTTTGTCAGCACCAATTGTTTTTAAGTGCAGGCCAATGTCTTTAGGCACTGCACTCAGTGGGCTGATCACCACTGGGACCACTTTTACTGGCTTGTGCCAGAGTCTTTGCAATTCTATCTTTAAATCCTCATATTGTGTCAGCTTTTCCAGTTGCTTCTCATCAATTCTGCTGTCACCTGGGATTGCAACATCAATGATCCATACTTTGTTTTTTCTAATGATCACGAGTTCAGGAGTATTGTGCTCCAAAACTCTGTCAGTCTGAATTTGGAAGTCCCAGAGTAGTTTGACAATATTATCGTTGTCATCATTGCTATTATCATTATTATTACATCCAGGCACGCTACATCTTCACATAGAATTACTGTTCTAGGAAATATCTCCACTAAAATGTCAGATTCTTTGTTTAAACTGGAGACTATGACTAGTATGGACACATGGCTCCCCACTAAGGGAAAAAACAATCCTTGACCCTTAGGTCTGATCCAGAGGACTCATATGACTGTATCAGAGGGAGATGTTCCCCAGTTCTCCAGATCAGACTTAGGTTAAGTAGATCCTCCTCAAAACACAGAAAAGCTATAGCATAGTGTTTCTCAACCTGGGGGTCGGGACCCCTGGGGGAGTAATGAGGAGGGGTGTCAGAGGGGTCGTCAAAGACCATCAGAAAACACAGTATTTTCTATTGGTCATGGGGGTTCTGTGTGGGAAGTTTGGCCCAATTCTGTCATTGGTGGGGTTCAAAATGCTCTTTGATTGTAGGTGAACTATAAATCCCAGCAACTACAACTCCCAAATGTCAAGGTCTATTTTCCCCAAACCCCACCAGTGTTCATATTTGGGCATATTGAGTATTTGTACCAAGTTTGCTCCAGATCCATCACTGCTTGAGTCCACAGTGCTCTCTGAATGTAGGTGAACTACAACTTCCAAACTCAGTCAATACCCACCAAACCCTTCCAGTATTTTTTTTGTTGGTCATGGAAGTTCTTTGTGCCAAGTTTGGTTCAATTCCATCGTTGGTGGAGTTCAGAATGCTCTCTGATTATAGGTTAACTGTAAATCCCAGCAACTACAACTCCCAAATGACATAAATAAATCCCACCCAAATCCACCAGTATTCAAATTTTGACGTATCGGGTATTTGTGCCAAATTTGGTCCAGTGAATGAATATACATCCTGCATATTAGATATTTACATTACAATTACATTATGAAGTAGCAATGAAAATAATGTTATGGTTGGGGGTCACCACAGCATGAAGAACTGTATTAAGGGGTCGCGACATTAGGAAGGTTGAGAAACACTGCTATAGCAGATGAGAAGCAACCAAGGGTTGTGGGGGGGGGGGGGGACCCTTTTCCAGGCAGTTTGTTCTGAATGATATGCTCTCTCTACTCCCTGGAAGTGGAGACTGCACAGAAATTTAGACTATGACACCGGCAAGCAAAAATGTTATGTATAAATGTAGAATTGAAGTTGTATATAATTTATCCCTTTTTTGTTAAAAGTATATTTGTATTTGGAACAAAGCACATTTTTTAAAGGAAGAAAGTTGGAGAAAAATACCATGAAATAAGATGCAGGGTATTTTTCCTGTCTCAAAGGTCAGGAAATTGAGACTATTAAGGAGCAAAAAATCTCCCTACTTTTCCTCTCATGCGATGTAATGGAAATCTTGTCAGTGGAATTCCAAAGTTGGCTGGAAATACCAACAAGGAACAAATAGTCTGTACTAAAATGTCTAGAGAAAATGAAAACCCTGCGCTTGAAGTACTCAAGAAACAGGTTTCATCAACATTACTTTTTAGTTTGAAGAAATCTCTTCTGTAAACAAAACTTTGATACTCTAATCCCTAACTTGTTGAAAAGATGTACTTAATGGTATAGTAGCATAAATCAACTGGTAATGTATGGATATAGTAAATTCCCAGGTGTTCTGGTGAACTTCCTATTTCCAAGTTATTGACAAAAGTTACTGTGCAAATGCACAAATGGCAGTATTAAAGTTAGAACCTAAAACTAAAGTCTGAACAGCAACTGAGAAAATATTTCCGGAATGGCTCCTTGCAGTCTTTGATAATTGGACTATGCTCTGAAATGGCAAAAGAATCTATTGCTTTCCCCCTTTTCTGTGCATTTTTGATGCTGAACTTCTTTCCGGTTTTCCCACACTCCTGCCTGTCACAGAGCACAAACCACAAAAACGCAGTTAAGTAAAGTCTGTCCAAGGAGCTGCAATTCCATTTCATAAGGATAAACATTCTTTCTGCCAATATGTGAGCACAGTGCACCAGAATCTTCAAATACACATCTTGCTGCTTAACAGAAGAATTCAATTTAAAAACTTTGTCACTTGAACCAACATGCAGTCTCTCATTCCCATTAGGAAGAATTACACAAAAATTGTCAGTGAACGCCCACAATGAGAAGTGTATCTCTCTATGCTCGCTGAACTGACCACTTCAAATCCTTTTCTAACTGGAAGGCTGGATTTACACAGTCATATAATTCAGTTGGAAATGCATTACAATGTTCCCTCACTTATCGCGGGGGTTCGGTTCCAGGAGCCTCCCCAATCATTGAAAATCCACAAAATAGGGACACTCTGCCTGCCTGGCGGAGCCTCCTCCTGCTCACCACTTCTGCTTGTCTAACCTTGGAGGCCCCTTGGGTGCCGTTGATGGCGCTGCCAGGCTGGGCTGAGACCTCAGCCTAGCCTGGCAGTGCTGTCATTGGTGCCTGAGGGGCTTCCGAAGCCGGGAGTAGCACAGGGGGCGAGGAGGAGGTTGCCGCCGAGTGGTTGGAGTCTCCTTCTGCTCGCTGCTTCTGCTGCTCCAGCCTTGGAAGCCCTTGGGCGCCATTGATGGTGCTGCCAGGCTGGGCTGAGGCCTCCAAGGAAGGAGCGGGGAGCAGTGGAGGCAGCAAGAAGGCTCCCCCTCCCCTCTCCTTCCTCCCCCCCCCACAGCTCGAGGGGAGGAAAAACCGCGATATGGTGAGTCCGCATAAAGCGAACCACGAAGCGGCGAGCAAACACTGTATATGGCAGTGTAGATTCTGCCGAAGAGGAGACTAAAAATACATCAGTTAGTCATTAACTTCATCTCAAGGATTCATGGAGGGTAATAGAAAAATAACAAAACACAATGGGCTGCTTTTTACAATCTTTATTCCCTACCCTTCTTTACCATATTCCTACTCTCCAGGCCTCCCCTCCCCCCTACCATTCCTCAATCCACTCCTTTCCCCTACTTCCCACAATTTACCTTAAATGTTACCACCCCCATTTTAAGTAAATTTGCCCATTTGTAAATTATAATAAAAGTTTTTTTTAAAGTGGTTGACTGTTGGATGGGACACCTGGTCAAATGGATCATATCCTGATAGACCACTGTGACTCCCCCCCCCCCCCCCCCCCCCCCCAACCCCGCTTGCTGCGGCACACAGAAACCTGATGGACAGAACTGGGAGAGACTGACCCCCCCCCCACCCCATCCAGTCAGGTCTCTCTTCCTGCCCAGAAGCACCTCTATAGGCTCCCCCACTCCCAGAAACCCCCTCTTGCCCCTCGTAGCTCATCCTTCTGTTCCTATAGTTTTTGCAATCCCAAGTAATAGTCTGTGTATTATAATATTGCACCATTCAGACCTAAAATCAAAGCAAACCCTGTCCTCCCCTCCCCCCTGATATTTTATATCTTCTATTTATCAAACATGGTGATGGTTTAAATAAAGCCAATAAACAATGTGCTTATTTTTTACAAAATCAACTATATACTGTCATCAGTGTACACATGAAATATTGAACAAAGAACTATTGACACAAAGTTGTATCAGATAAGTACTGTATTGGGACCTATCCCCTCACAAACTGCTTCACACTATACCTTCTACTTTACTTAGTACTAAAATCTCTCCTGAACTAAAAGCAAATTAGTCCTAAAGATTGAAAGAAAAAGGCACTTTTAAAAGCATTTATAAATGTAACGCAGATAGTCACAGGATTTTGGCAGGGAATAATCTAGAACAGCTGAACGGATGATTAGTTCATCTTTCTGTATTCCTGTCACTTCAAAAATGCAGTCATTACAAAAGTTTGGCAGGCACCCATCATACACCTGCAACATATACAGTTCTCGTCAGACTTTACTGTCTCTTCATTTGCCCTCTCCTACTTTTCCCAAGGAATTTGTCTACAGATATGCTGCCAGAAGTGCTTCAGAATTAATTCTTCTAAATACACTTAAGGAGAAAAAGAAGTAAAAGCCTGTGAAGAGCAAAATGTAGAACACCGAAATGATGCAGAACAAAGATTTATAGTACAACCATATATCTCCAAAGACAGAGGGTACAATTTACGAGCAGATTTGAATGGCTTCTGTATGATGAGAGACTGAGAAGATTGGGATTGTTTAGTCTGGGGAAGAAAGGGGTAAGAGGAAGCATTGATCAAAAGCCACAAAATGACAAATGGTTGAAGGAAAACCCAGACTACAACTTAATGGCTTCCATAAAAACAAAAAGATGACAAATTTACCAGCAGTAACAATTCTATACCTCTCACCAAAGCATTAGAAAGATACAATGCCAGATTGTTTTCTCACATTCAAAACTTTTAAGGACAGAGAACCTATAAAAGAAAATTGTTTTGCTTCTGGAAACAAATCATATTATCACTCTGTAGAGTGAAGACTAGACTTCCAGAAGAATATGAGATAGTTTGATTAGAATTTTTCCGTGCACAACTAAGCACCACCAATGGTCTGGAAAGAAAGACATGTGGCATTCCTTTTTCTAACACAGAGACTGATCAGTACAAGCAATATCTCACTGTGCAGAATATTAATATGTATTGTTATTATTTTCATTTTTTATTGGTAAATTTATTTTCATCTTGTTGTGTTTTTACTTTTTTAATGATGGCTATTAGCTGCCATTAAGGGCTATGTTTTAGTATAAAAGCTAGAGAAAAAGAAATAAAAAATTAAATATGATGCTATTACATTGTGTTCATTCCTCCCCCCTCACCTGCATATTAGAAAACTGAGGGTGGGTTTTAAAACCTTACTTCATTTCTCTTAAAAACTTACACAGTCCAATAGAGATAGATCAATGTCCTCATGGAAAAATCAGAAAGATTTGCAATTCAGATTCCCTCTTCTATATTTTTCAGAAGTGAATTTTGTTTGAATACAAACTTACTTGGAAATCCTCTGAGATGACACTTTCCTGATAACTGCTTGCCTGTGGCTTGCTGGGGGCTTAGGGACCAAGTGTGAAGATGCACTCTGGGATGACATTACTTTGTGCAAAGTGGAGGCCTTCTGGCTACTAGAAATGGCACTTGATGTTCTACGGGCACGGGAACCTGATGACAGAGTGATAGAGCTGATGCTGGACGTTGGGAAGTTAGCAAACAAAGCCTAGTTGGAAAGGAAAGGAAAGATAAGATTTAATATATTTGTTCCTTAGGATTGTTTGAGACAGTCCGCGGAATCAGATATTTAAATGTCTGTATTGTCAAAGGCTTTCATGGCCAGAATCACTGGGTTGTTGTGCGTTTTCTGGGCTGTATGGACATGTTCCAGAAGCATTCTCTCCTGACGTTTTGCTTTTTATCTATGGCAGGCATCCTCAGAGGTTATGAGGTCTGACCTCACAACTTCTGAGGATGCCTGCCATAGATGCAATCAAAATGTCAGGAGAGAATGCTTCTGGAACATGGCCATACAGCCCAGAAAACACACAACAACCCGTTTAAGTGGCTCTTTTCTAATGCTGAAATTTACCATGAAATTATTAATGTTATGCGCTGCCTTTTCCAGAGCTTATTGTGCAATGAAAAACACTTGCATATATGCGTGCCCTCCCCAATTCTAAACTTCTGATACCTTCAAGATTCTTTCCTGGCCAAACCTCTTTCTTAATTGCATGCAGACAAGAAGCTTTGTCACCCAGTGGGAAGAGTCAACAAAGCAACTTTTAAAGCAGCATGACTGTTGGAGGATGAAGAAAGGTCAGGGCTGTTTTTCTTGGGGGGCAGCAGACATCCAAAAGGCTTTTGTTTCTCTGCTGTGATGTAATCCTGGCTGCTCTAGGATGCAGCCAACACAGAGAGGCAGGGAGCTGATACTGACCCCAGCCTCTGGGTTCAGCTTCAAAGAAAGTTATCCCATTGTGAACCCCCTTCGTTTATGTTTAGAAGCCAGAAGAAGCGACTCTACAAACAAGACAGCAGCAAGTGAGGTCATAAGGTTTGGCCACACAGAAAAGGAAAGTAGAGGTGGGAAAATAACACAAAAAAGTTTGTTGTAAAAAGTTAAAAACCTTTATCTGCTATGGATGAGGTACAACAGCGGAAGAAAAACATGAGAAATTTAGATGCAAAGCAGCAGATCTACCTTTGTGAAAATTCCCTAATTATATTTCAGCAGCTAGAAAACTGTACTGAGTCCTAAAAAGAGTGTCCTGGTATAGGGTGTGCTGTATAAATACTATTAAAATAAAATAATATAAAATAAACCAAACAGGCAAATCAGGCTAAAATAATGCATTGTGATTATTGCTGCCCCCCTCCCCCCAACAATACTCACAAGCAAAAAGGGAACACTTGTTTTAACCTGATGTTTTAACTAGATCATTGTTTTTATATAATTAATTGTATGTGTTGTATTTTAATATCCTATTTTTTCCCCTGGAGAATACGTTGTCTTGTCTTGATCCACGGGGAGAGGCAGGTAAGAAAAAAAATTCAATAAAGGAGGAGAAAAGGATATATTCGATGATGTATTTTGCCCTATATCCTGTCAGAAAATAACAGGCAGATCTAGTTTATACTTAGATCATGAGCACTACAACAAACCTGAAAACCACCTAGCATATAGAGACCACTTGAAAAGAATCTAGAATATAAAGACTACCACAATCTCTATTTTAACAACCATTTTCATTGTCTAAAGTATACCTTAAATGTCACGCAGAATATCCTGACTATCCAGAACCTAGTATCGATATATGAAGCTATATGAACATGGGCTCAATCATGTCACTTCGTATTTCCCATGGATCTGTAAGAACATCTCTTTCTCATTTGTAATGCAATGTTGTGTCCGCTGTCATGGATTCACTATGTCATAAGGTTGGATGAAAGCAACACAAAACAGAATGCTAGGGGGGTTCACACTGAAAAAGGTGTCTTATAAGTAACAACACATTTCCTTTCCCATTCCAAACAAATTTCTTTGCTGAATATTGCTTATGCACAAGTAGCAAAGACATTGATCCTGAAGGAAGTTTAGGTGCATTGCTTATGCTTGAGAGTGTGTGAGAGACAGAGAGACGAAATAGAACAAAGAAGAGCTACATTTAAAGAGGGAGGAGGAAAGGCGGACAGGGTATCAGTGGCAGTGTCTGGCCAATGGCTAGTTTAGATTGGCAGTATGGTGCCTATTCAGTAAGAAATCTGTCTCCCATGCATCCCTGGGCGAGAATGAGCCTCTTCTCCCTTCCATATGACTTAACACACATTAGCAGGACCTACCCTGCCAAGTTTCCCATGCAAAATACAAGAATAGCAATAAATACAGAGAACTAGCCTTCACTTGCGTTCTGCACAATGGCAACACTGTTACTTGCTCATTCAATGCCTATGAATGAATAAACAAACTCAAACCACACATTACATGAAAAGGGGGAAAGAATAGCTCACAGTATACTGCTTAAGGCACCTTTCGACATAATTAAATACCAGGGACAATTTCACAAAAGCGCCAACATCTAAGCAGCAGGAAAATAACTGAATGCCACAGCAGGGCATGCCCCACCAATTATATGAATAGGAACACAATTGTTCGCATATTCCAGTCAAAAGGCATAACTGGCTTTTGAGTCTCCTACTTCAGAAAACTCTGTTTGTAATCGCAAGCTATTTCACCAAGACAAGTTCATGTAAATTTGGGAGCATAAAATAATAATCCTGGTCTTCACTGTATTACTTGATGATTAGATGTATTTTGTACTTCGAAATACTTCCTTTTTGAGATGGGCTGCATGTAAACTACCATTGACAAAAAATATAGGTCAACCTATTAAGTTTGACATGCTGTATCTTGAAACAAAACACAAAAGTTCTCCAAGAGTGAATTTCTGTAGTTGGGTTCACACAGAGCTCTCTTGGAACTCTTGTAGAATGAGTATTGTCTCCATAACCTGCAATCAAAGGACAGCAAATGTGGCAATAAAAATAATAATAAACACTTTATTTATATTTCGCCCTATCTTCCCAAGGGGACTCAGGGCACATACACGGCAAACATCCAATGCCTTTTATACATATACAGAGGACAGAGACAGACAGAACAGAAAGGAGGTATGTTGTGTCGATGTCCAGCATTTTTGCGCCTTGGGGGTTGTGCTCGAATCCAGCCACAGGGGGGTACTGTCACTCCATCCTCTATGACGAAGAGCCATCAGGACTTCCTTCTTCCTTTTGATCATCGGGCATTTTCTGATCTTTTTCTTTATGGTGCCATAAAATACCTTCCCTGCTTGTTTTAGCAGTACCTAATTTCTCTACTTACAGCTCAAGCTGTTTTCGAACTGCTTAGGTAAACAGTAAGCTGGGCTGGCAGTCGAGAGTTCATTTCAACCCGGGCTTCGAACTGGCAACCTTTCGGTTGGTAGATATTATCATTGCTGGTGATTTGCCAGCTCTGCTAAAGCCCGGCAACAGCTGAATCATTGTTTTATTCATTCAGAATTATAATTCAATATTTTGTCAAGGTTCTCTTGGTGTTTCCCACATTTGCACAGGCATGTAGCTGTCTATCCACACGTTTGTATATACAATTTTGAAGAGATGGAAACCATATATACATGATATGTGCAACAGAGAGAAATTAGAACAACTAAGGATAGAAACAAAATTGTAAAAACCTAGGAAGTTGTCTTATACTGAATCAGCAACAGCTTTTCCAAGTCTTTCCCAACCCTACCTGGAAAGGTTGGGGACTCCGCCTGGGGCCTTTTGCAAGCAAAGCATCTGCTCTGCAACAGATTGATGGCTCTTCTCCTACAAACTGGAATCATTCTGATACAGAAATATCCTAAATATTATAAGAATCAGAAGCGACCCTAACATGTAGCATGTTTTCCATTACTCCTGTCTTCAGAATACAATTCTCAGATCACTACTGCTGCTATGAGTACTAGAGATATATATTCTAGGTACCATACAAAGCTCAAATGGCATAAAAATCTTCTTTGAGAGTCGCTGATGTATGAGGAAGAAATAAAGAAGAAGGCGAGAAACAAGAGGGGGGGAGGGAAGCAGGATTTAGATAGATGTTCCCAAACTATGAGCCACTCCTTCTCAGCTGTCACACTAAAAATACATGAAATACATTCCAGACATGATTTTTCTATGCGGATAACTAAAGTCACTTTACGAATAAGTTATGGCACTATGCACCAAAGGCAAAGTGAACCTTGCAGACCTAAAGCATCCTAGAGAGAGTAATGCAAAACAGGGCAGGAGCTGGAAACAAAGGCGCTTAGGGAAAATGTGAATGTATGGGAATTGATGAGCCTATGTAATCATTCATGCTATACTAATCAAATTAGAGGTTGGAGCCATCCGTTCAAGCCACACAACACATTTCTCATGATTGATGATTATTCTGCATTAACAACCACTTTAAGGCTATCTTACAGCCTTTTCTCTTATAGACAGAATATGATATACAGCAAAACATGTGATGATCTGTTATACTGGATTCTTCTGCAGTGTACAGTAAAAAAAGGTTTGCAACTACTTGTTTCAAATTTTAATGGTATCTCAGGATTTAAATTAGGGATAGGCTATTAGGAAACTGATATCTGTTCAGAAAACACAAGAGTTGCTGGGCGGATATAAGTATGGCGGTGGGGGTAGAACAGACCAATGCAGGAAAAATGTGTGAGGGGAGAGACATCTCACAGCTATTCTGTCTTCTGGTTTACCATCTAACTAACAGATTCTGGGCATCTGTAGTGGAACCCCATCAGGTCAAAAAGTGTTGCTACTTAATGCCAGGTCAGTGACTGGGAATCATAGAATCATAGAATCAAAGAGTTGGAAGAGACCTCATGGGCCATCCAGTCCAACCCCCTGCCAAGAAGCAGAAATAATGCATTCAAATCACCCCTGACAAATGGCCATCCAGCCTCTGCTTAAAAGCTTCCAAAGAAGCAGCCTCCACCACACTCCGGGGCAGAGAGTTCCACTGCTGAACGGCTCTCACAGTCAGGAAGTTCTTCCTAATGTTCAGATGGAATTCCTCTCTTGTAGTTTGAAGCCATTGTTCCGCGTCCTAGTCTCCAAGGAAGCAGAAAACAAGCTTGCTCCCTCCTCCCTGTGGCTTCCTCTCACATATTTATACATGGC